CGGGGCGCGCCAGCCGCGGCAGCTCCGGGACCCAACATGCGCCGCTCGGTCTGGCTGGCGCTGGCGGCGTCGCTCCTGCACGGTAAAGCCGCAGGGCTCCCCGCACTCCACTCCTCCTCCGCGGGCTCCTGGGCGCAACCGGGGCGGCTCAGCGCGCCCGCGCTGGGGCCAGCTATGGGGGTCGCTAGGGGCATCGGGGGCTGCCTGGGGAGGGTGGCTGGGATCGTGGGCAGGGGGGCGTCAGGCGCACCCCCGCCGGCCTCCCCTGAGCAGCCTGGCCCGCTCTCCTCCCCTCAAGTGTCCCTGCAAGGCGAGTTCCAGAGGAAGCTCTACAAGGAGCTGGTCAAGAACTACAACCCCTTGGAGAGGCCCGTGGCCAACGACTCGCAGCCGCTCACCGTCTACTTCTCCCTGAGTCTCCTGCAGATCATGGACGTGGTGAGTCCTCGCACGGGCCGCAGGGCTGCCCTCTCCCGCCGCCGCGGGCCCCCGGGGGTCGTGGACGCAGCCGGCGGGCTCTCAGCTGGCCCCCGGCCAGGCGGGCTGTGCTCTGACCCCTGCCCTGCCCCGGCCTCCCCGCTGCTGCGTGCCTCAGTCTCCCCGCCTGCCCAGGAGGAACCAGGGATGCTGTTCCACCGCCCGGGCCACCTGTGCCTGCCTGTCCCCCAGCTTAGAAACTCAGGGCCAAAGTACCCCGAGCCAGGAATCAGCACGAACAGGGTCCAATTGGTTCTATCTCAGCTCCACATGTGGAATAAGTGTGTCGGCACAGCAGCCTGGCACTTGGTGTCCTTTAGCCATTTCTAGATTTCTCTGCCGCTGCCCGTGGCATGCGGTTTCTTTGGGTAGGGCCTTGGCTCTGGGCTTTGCAGATGGTCGATATGCCCAGGCAGGGGGCTAGCTGTGGGCATTTAGGATCCCGCCTCCCCGATACCAATAACGCACATGGGCTGCCTCCCGCTGAGGGTGGCGCTGGGAGTCCTGCTGGGAGCACGGGCGAGGCCGGGCCCCTGGGCACCTTGGCTGTTCCTCGGGGCAGCCGCCCCAGCCCCACGGGCTCCCTGCCCCGCAGGCCTCCCCCAGTTGCCACATCTATGCAGTGGCCGTGTCACGTGGCTGTTTCGCTCGCCTAGACCGCTTTGAATCTCCGGCGTCCATTGCCGTGGCCTCTCCACGCTACAAACACTTTTACCAAATGCTTCATTCATTGCCAACGGGTTGGAGTGACCCGTGGGGGGTACAAGGCGCGGGGTTCGTCACCGGGCGTGCGGGGCTCAGGGACACAGAAGGGTGGTCAGGGAGAGGGAGGGATACGGTGGGGAAAGGCTGTGGTAACGGCCACAGCTCCATGGACGACGCGCTAAGGAGCCGCCCGAGGGGCTCGGAACAGGGGGGCAGGAGGGCAGGTGATGGTTCACAGTCGCGCCCACGAGGGTCCGGGACAGGAGGACGCGGCCCTTGTCCCCGCACGTGGGCAACATCACACTCACACACGGACAGAGAGCAACGACGCCTGAGAGACGACCGGGCCGAGCGCCCAGCTCTGGAAGCAAACGCGAGACAGGCGAACAGAGACGCCGGGGCCGGGCCTGCGGGCCTGAGGAGCCGCGGCCGCCCTGGTCCTGGCCCGGC